TTTTCAGAGAGAATCAGCCATGTTTTCATCCCGTTTGGAATATGAACGTCTCACAAAGCGCATCGACAAGGTGACAGTTCCTCGTCCATGCCAAAGATCAGTCCACCAAAGAAAAGAAACCTCTTCTATGGCATCAGGTGTGAGCAGAAACGTCAGTCAGACTCAACTGACACTGAAAGGACGAATGAACCAACATTGAAAAATAAGACCAGACTCCACACCTGTTTTCTCCCACCTCAACATGATGGGACACTCTCTTTGTGTCAGTCAACACGTGGAATCATTTTTTTGTACAGAGAAAGAAAGTAGTTTGAACAAGGAGTAAAAAGAACTAAAAACAATTTAGGACACTCAACAAAAAGGGAGGCCTCTGGTTTAACCTGTCCCAAGCGTGCGACTGGGCCCTTTGAGAAGTCACCAGTCGTCTCTCCCTCAACTAATTTTCCCACTTAGTAGTTTATGCGCTTTTACGGACATAGAAGAAGACATGCACTAATAGAGGGCGCCCCCCTCTCAAAAAATGAAACGGAAGCTCTTATTACCAATCATTTGAAAGTATGCTTTGCCGACTACTAATTGATATATTTGGTAAATTATTTTATCTATCCAGACCGGATAAATATCGTGCATGTGTTGCGTCTACATACCAGCCAACCTTTGAAGACTTAAAATAGTAAACATTTTTTACGAGGACTGTGAGGAGTGGGTGTGGGAGAGGGCTGCCCCCCCCCCCCCACGGTAGGGAGGAATGCCTTTTTCCTTCACTTTAAACTCATTTTTCAACACTTTTGCAACCCCTTACCCAACAAAACAAAAACAAAAAACAAGGACTAAAAGCTTAGTGTGTGTAAGCGTGTAATGAGGTACTTGGGTACATTCCCAGGCTTACAGGCAAATACTTGATTACTCTGACGCCATGTTTGTTTGTTTTTTGCCACTACCATACTACGGTAGAAGTATACCAGGTCCATCACCGACATTTCCTTGAGTTGGAATTTAAGGCGCTGATTTAATAATAATAATAGTAAACAATGCTGTTTTCAAAACCAAAGATGAGAGACTAAGGGCGCGTTCATGCTTGATTTTGAAGGCAGAATGAGCGATTTGTAACGCTCATCGTAAACGCTCATCGTAAACGCAGTTCCACGGTGCACTGTTCATGCTCACTTCTCCAGGCAATTCTCCTTGGGTGGCCTTCAGCTAGATTCGCAAACCTGTGTGCGCATGCTACGTAGACCCACTAGAGGTCAGTGCATTGACCCCATTTAAACGCGTTTACAAATTGTAAACGCATCTTTTTGTGAGTTTACGATCGGCGATCGTGATCGCCGTTTTTCGGTGATTCTACAAAAGTGAGCATGAACGCAATCGTGTTTTAAACTAAACGCGTAACAGATGCCTGATTCTGGCCGTCAAAATCATGCATGAACGCGCCCTAATTCTCCCGGGCACGGGTAAGCGCTGGCCTTGATAGTGCCAGGTGAAAGGGGAAAAAGAAAAAAAAATATCATAATTTGTGACAAAAAAATCTTAAGGCGTAATTTAAAACATAAAATCGTGATAATTACGCCAAAATCGTAGTAGTTGGCAGGTATTCTCTGTACAGTGCTTGTAACTTTACCAAGACCGTGCCAAGTTTCTTATCATTTTGATGATTCCAGAACCTTTCAGAACACACCAATACTTATATGCTGGATGATCAACCTTTTCTGATCGATTCCACAACGTTTCTTTCACAGTGCAATCTAGGGCAGCGAAGAGTAGTCGAATGCTCGAGTACCCGCACTGCTGACAACTACTCAAGTACGATTTCTCGTACCCGAATATTCGGCCGCAAAAAAAAAGTCCCGGTCACCTGGCACTGTCCAGGCCGACGCTTACCCGTGCCAGGGAGAGCGGCGGCCGCTGGCATGGTACCGTCTGGAAAAATGTTTCCCAACTCAAGCACTGTCAAACTCACCACTCAGAAAAAAGGGGACTCAGAGGCAAATGGATTATTCTGCCATCTTTGGTTTTTAAAACAGCATTGTTTACTGTTATTATTAAATCGGCGCCTTCAAATACAACTCGAAGTAAAATTGCATGTGTTTTCGGCGACGTGGGATACTGCTCAAGTGGTATGGTGGTGGCAAAAAACAATCAAAATTAAAAAAATCAAAAATTTAAAAAAAAAAAAAAAAATTTTAAAATTAAAAAAATTATAAAAAACATGGCGTCCGAATACTCGAGTATTCGCTTGTAAGCTTGGGACTCTGGGAGTGTACTCGGGTACCTCATTACATTGTTGTGCACAGCCCTAGTGCAATCGCATGACCAGAACTTGTCTATACCTTTAAAGGTACTATGTCCCATTTGCAGGCCAAAAAAATGAAAAGGTTAAATTCTAATGGTATTTGAAAGATAATACTAATTTAGAACTTCCCTAAAAAAAGGGGGCTTGAAAATGTCTTTAAGTGGGAAAATAACAACTATTAGTTGTCAAATCGACTTAAAAGCTATAGAGCCAGTAATTAATAGTTTGATTTGTCAGGCCATTGTACCAAATGGTTGTACGTTTTATGCTGCGCAAAGATTCAATCAGTTTAATTTTGGTCATTACAAGAAGTGGGTTATTGATGTATCATGTAGACAAATGCTCATGTACCCTTTACAGCTCATTTTTATGTATGTTATTACCAAAGCCAGTCAGTCACTCAATAGTGTATGACGGTGAAGTCTAGCAAGTAAACGGGTTTCCTTGCATAATTTGAATATTAGGACACTGCTGACGTTTAAATTTCACAGATAGGACATACATGACATATTCATAATTCCTGCAAATTTCTACAAAATTCAATGTTGGCTGCAAAAGAGATATAGTATCTTTAAAGTGTGAGATGGTATTTTAATTTTTTTTGTTATTTTCCCTATTCATTTTATATGATGGGGCGACCAGATTTTTTTTAAATATTAGGAAATGTGATATTTGAATTGATACATGATGATTTCTCATATTCTACAATTTTATTTAGTTCAATTATTACCAAATGGACAGCAAACTTTTTGATATCAAAATTGGTGCAACAAGAAAATTTATCATCAAAGAACTTCAGAGATATTGGGATCTCAAGTTTTGATGTCGGAGCGGAATGCGCTTCAAGTCAACTCATGAAAAAGAAAAAAAAAGAAAAAATAGACCTCAATTCACGCACGAGGGTTTAGAGCTATTTTATCACAAAAAGCGATCAACTAAATATCAGCTAATTTAATATTTTGCAGGCAAAATATCATACAATCTGTTGTAAGTTGTAACCACTTTTTACTTACAATTTTGATGACATCTGCTCTCAAAATACAGATTTCCAGACCCTTGTCGGTATAATAAAGTTCATATTTTTTTTGGAACGGACGAAAAAGACTTTAAATGTGCCAATCTTTTCATAATTACACACCCAATTCTATAGAGAATTTGTCTCTGGGTAATTTTAGGTTCCTTGTTCCATTGGCGGTAGTAAGATTTTCTTGCCGACTTTTTGAGATAAAGAACCAAGGTCACTCGTGAACTATGGTTGCACCACCATACATGTGCAAATGAATTAGCTCCCAATGGTTGATATTACTTAACAGGGGGGTGTTTCACAAAGATCCTACATTTAAGTCTAACTTTATAACTCTAAGTTCGACTTAAACATTATGGAGAGCCATTTGTAGCCTTATAATAAAATATATTCAAAAGTGAAAATTCAAGTATTTTTTATAAATTCCACATCAAGAAAATGAAATATCCTTGATAATAGAGAATATGAATGATTTGAATCAACATTTGATGCCTTTGAAATCACTTTTACACAATATTTTCATAGATCTATGCCAATGGTTTTCCATAATTGTTATGTCCAACTTAGAGATAAGTTCAAGTTAGAATCTTTGTGAATACACATAAGCCCCTGGGGCCCGTTCCTAGAAACCGTCTAAGTCTAACTTCTTGACTATCCCATTGAAATGTGTGTTAATTCTATAGCACACGTTTCAATGGGATAGTCAAGAAGTTAGACTTATGACGGTTTCTAGGAACGGGCCCCTGATGTGTCAAATAGCACGAGGCCTAACCATCATAAATATTTTTCATTGACATTAGATAGATCTAAATACTGTCTAACATAATTTCTTAAAAGATTGAAGAAATGTTGTGAGCAGCTTCTTAAAATCAATACTGTTTTTAAATCAACTGTCCCGAGTTCAGAAACAAAACATCTTGGTCCTTGAAGTTGATGAAAGGTCTAGTCTAAGTCCTAGATCTATACAATAATTGGTAGGCAATACGCCCTAGACCTTATTCGTATGACGTCACGCATTTGTAGATCCAAAAGGGCGCCCTCCCTCAGAGGACAAGCGCTACGTTGCTAGTGATCGGCAGAGGCTACCCGTTATCACATACTTTCTCTTAGCTCAACCTTTTAATTTATCATTGACTTTTTGCTTATCTTGCTCGAGTTTATCATAGAGCTCTAGGGCCTAGTCGGAAAATGGTAAATTTCTGGTTGCATCGGCTCTGACTCTGATCTCACATGGCAGTGCAGTGTCTGTGGAGCTTTTCAGACATGTCTGTGGAGCTTTTTGTGTTGGAGTGCGAAATAACGATTAGGCCTAGGCCTACAGTGTAGATATCCAACAATTCATGGCATTAATCATAATATAGACTAGATCTAGGTCTAACTGTTAGTTAGGCTAGAGTTCTACCTCAAGCCTCAAGCCTCAAGGGGAATAATCAACATCATCAAACATTATCACCCGAACATAAATGGAGGCGTGATCACTTAGTTTCTTGTCAACATCAAGTCCACGTCCACTCCAATTTCCAAAGTCATTCACTCAGGATCAGAAATCAGAATTCAAAAACAAGTTTAACTAATTTTTTACTTTGACTCGAATTTGAGACAAACAAAATCAAAAAGTAGACCTAACTTTAGTTTAGACCTAACTGTTACTGTTAGGCCCTAGGCCTAATATATTTTACAAACCTCAGAGAAGCTTCTAGTCTTTGGGTCACAGATTCCTCATTGTCTGTCATCTTATCCATTTTACTTCCATTCAAAGAGGCTGGAACGTGTGCTCCAGATCCAGTGAGTTTACATCTTGCATTGACGTTCACAAGCCGATTATGATCGCCCATTGTTGTTTGAGAAGTGGCGTTGGAAACGAAGTTTTGATAATTTGCATTCACTGAGAAATCCGTCGATGGGCGGAAATTTTCCATCTTTGCTACACGTCAGACCTGTCTCTGATAATTCAAGACAACAAACATGAGTAGGCTGAACCCTAACATGTGAAGTTTTGGGCCAAATCAAATGGATTTGGCCACGAAATCTGTTTCTTTTCCTCATTTCATGATGGTTCCGGTGCATGTAAAATAACAATAAAGTGGCTGTGATGTGAGTGAAGTTACAGTTTTTACGAGCTACGTACAGGATTCTATGCAGTACGTATACATGGAATGCACGAAATTAATGCCGAATCAATAAAACGAGTGTTATCTCAAGATGGCGCTAGACCTCTATAAACAGAGCTTTCTCTAAACGATGACGACAATCTTCTATATTACATACGAAATTTAAAAATCAACATGAGAGCCTGCGCCAAGCCGACAAGTTGCACCAGACTTTGTCAGTATTATGTATTAGTAAGAAAAAAATACTACCACACACACAAGCAAAGTGGCCAACACTTCCGTCTGGTTAGGATTGGATCAGCAGACGCCCTTTGGATCAGTCAGTATTATTTTAGCCTAATTTCCAGAGCAAAGAAGTATGCAGCTAATGCAGGTATCAGTTTTGGTACATCAAAATGATTTTAAACTGGTAGAATTTTATTAAAATCTGGCTTTCAGACCCCGCCCCCTAAACAAAAATAATTAAGTGCTCCTTGGACCATTTTTTTTGCCCACAACCCCCCCCCCCCCCCTTCAAGGCAAAATTAAAAGAAAAAAACATATATAAATAACTTTTTTTTTACCTTCCAAAGGTATTTAATTCGGTTAATTGGGTTTAAATGTTCAATGAAAATGTATACCTAAATTATGAATATCGTAATTTTCTTAGGGTGCAATTTGGTGTTTAATGATCAGGCGGCGGAGCGACTTCCAAAGTGAGGGGGCACCAACAAAGAAAGGCACTTTCTGGGGAAAAGGGGCTCCTTCAAAGGAAAATCTAAAAACAAAAATATACAATTTTTTAGACATTGGTAACAGTGGCGGATCCAGGAATTTCTTACCGGGGTGGGGGGGGGGGGGCACAAAATCGCATGGGGTGAAATATATATATGAAAAACGATGGAGCGAAGCGACAGCGGCGAGACGTCAGCAGCGGAGCCTAAGCTGGGGTTGATATTCTTGTCTGAATTAATTTTCGACTATCCTGCACGAAGCGCGGAAGCTTTCACGTTTCATTAAATTATTAGAGAAAGAAGACGATTTCGTTGTACCGTTCTCGACTCTTAATCCTAGTCTAAATTCAGTTGCCCCACCCCTCCCGCGCGATCGACGCGCGGAAGCTTTGACGTTTCATTTAATTATTAGAGAAAGAAGACGATTCGTTGTACCGACTCTTAATCATTGTCTGAATTTTCAAAAATGTTTCTCTGTCCGATAAAAAGTCACAGTTTGTAGGGCAGTTCCCACAAATAAAAAAAAATTAAAAAGGAAATGCAATAAGTTATCAATAATTCATTGCATTTCACCCAGGTCCCCAACATAAAGACATCCTCTATACGGCCATGCCTTGAACTATAATGCATGACCGTGCAGAGGAGTTTTTAATGTTGGGGACCGGGGGGGGGGGAATTCAATGAATTTTTGATAATTTATTGCATTTTCTTTTTTTAAATTTTATTTGTGGGAACTGCCCCCTACCCTAGCCTCCGCTGCGTACAGTCATGGTTCAGTGGCAAAGCAATGGCCTCGTAACTGTGAGGCCCCAGGATGTGCTACATTAGTGCCCCTTTGTGGGGCATTAAACCTCATTACTGTCATTTATGACTTAGGGGCGCAGGTCCCCTAGCTGATAAGCATAGTCAGGCGCGTACGCAGGGGAGGGGGGTGGTTGGGTTAACCCCCCCCCCCTTGAGTTTTTTTAATGTGTATATTTTTCGGGAACCCCCCCCCCCCCCCACTTTAAATTAAACTAAATGGATGACATACAAAAGATGACCTAACCCCCCCCCCCCCCCAACGGAACGGAATGTCGATCGGTCAAATTTTTCAAATTTCAGGACCATAAAAAAATATATATATGTCCTCCTGTTTTGCCTCTTCTCTTAGACCAATATTATTAATTTCAAAGTCATGAAAAGGCACGTAATATCAACAAACATGGTCTACAACAACTCCACTTTTTTTTTTATTGGGGGGGGGGGGGCTGACAAAAAAAATCCGCAACACCCCACTCTTACATGGGCAAAGGCCCAGCGGGGGTCAAGGGGCGGAGCTCCCGAAGCTCAAGGGTATGGGTATCAGTGGCGGATCCAGGAATTTCTTACGGGGGGGTTGCACAAAATGGCATGGGGTGAAATATATTTATGTAAAACGATGAAGCGACAGAGCGAGGCTGTATCGGTAAGGGAGCGGAGCGACCAAGCGGGGGTGGGTCTTGGAGGGGGTTGTGACCAAAGTAGGAAGCATTTGCAATTTTAGAACCACATTAGACGCATTTTCAGGCACTACCTGGAGTAATATGACATAAAATTGCTTTCTCCTACCCCCTCCAAGAGTAGGGATCTTTTGCAATTTGAGAACCACATTTGGCGCATTAATGTCCACCGGCACTTCCTGGGGGAAAAAACGAGGCCTTTTGATTGGTTAGAAGTTAGATTGGTTAGAAGTTAGAAGAAAAAAAAGATCTTTCACGTCATGAGACGTTCTATATGCTTCGCTGCTGCACAGTGCATAAAGACGTGGTCCAGTACTTCACCAGTAGTACTTGCACGAATTTTCTCGAGTGTGTAAACTCTGTTGTTATTAGGGGCGTCGCTAGACCTTTTTCAGTGGGGGGGGGGGGGGGTGGGGTGTAGAGACCACCGATTACCGACAAAACTAGCCACAAATTACCGACAAATATATTAATGCCAATGTCCCAATGTCTACAAATTCAACCCTATAACCCCGGGGCCAGGAACTAAGTTATTTTTCAGTTTTCCCCTCTTGCGCGAAGCGCAGACGCTTTGACACATCATTATATTATTAGAGAAAAGACGATCCGTTGAACCGTTCCCGACTGTTAATTCTTTTTTCGCCCCTCCTGCGCGAAGCGCATAAGCTATGACGTTTCATTTAATATTAGAGAAAGAAGACGATTCTTTGTACCGTTCTCGACTCTTAATCCTTGTCTGAATTAAGTTCCTCCCCCTCCCGCGGAAAGCGCGAAAGCTTTGACGTTTCATTAATTTAAGAAAGAAAGAAGACGATTCATTGTATCGTGTCCTTTTCTGAATTCAGTTCCCCCTCCCGCGTGAAGCGCGGAAGCTTTTACGTTTCATTTAATCATTATTCGTAATCCATATCTGAATTTATTTTCGCCCAACCCGCGCAAAGCGCGGAAGCTTTCACTATCATTAAATCATTAGAGGAAAAGCCGATCCGTTGTACCGTTCTCGACTCTTAATTCTTGTTTCGCCCCTCCCACGCGAAGCGCAGCAGCTACGACGTTTCATTTAATTATTAAAGAAAGAAGACGATTCATTGTACCGTTCTGGACTCTTATCCTTGTCTGATTATAAGCGCGAAAGCTTTGACGTTTCAATGAATTATTACTCTTAATCCTTGTCTGAATTCATTTTCGCCCATCCCGCGTGAAGCGCGCGGAAGCTTTCACGTTTCATTAAATTATTAGAGAAAGAAGACGGTTCGTTGTTCCGTTCTCGACTTTAATCCTAGTCTGAATTCAGTTGCCCCCCTCCCCCTCCAGCGGGAAGCGCGGGAGCTTTGCCGTTTTATTAAAGTATTAGAGAAATAAGACGATTCGTTTTACCGTTCTTTACTCTTAATCCTTGTCTGAATTCAGTTTCCCCACTGAACCCCTTATAACGGTACACGTGCAGCGTTACATGATCTGTTTATATATGTATTTTTATTGAGACAGGGCCTTATGGAAGACCCGTTTTTAATCTGAGTGAGATACCCTGTATAGAAATGTGAAATAAATAAATAAATGTACGTTCGTTCGCAAAATTGTGCATGCACAGCCCGAGTGGTGGCCGGGTAGCATGTTTTCTCCCGACAGTACGGCTTGTCGCATTAGCTTCTGGAAAGGAATTTTCTACTAGTGTTACTGTTAGTGGCCACTAAGGCCCACTAGTGACTATAAAAAAAAAAAACATATGCTCTTCCTGGCTATTTGGAAATGTGGCAGTCTGCAACAGAAATGGAGAAACGTTGAAAATCATGTGATATCACGAACATTTATAAATCACTTGTATCATGGAATTAAAAAAAAGTCATGGTTTATTTATCTATTTATTTATTATTATTATTATTTTTATTTTATTTTTATTATTTTTTTTTTTTTTTTTTTGGGGGGGGGGGGCTGGCGCCCCCACCAGTTTGCCAGTGCGTTGATATGACATAAGCCTGCGAAGTAACTTACGTTACAACACATTTAAGACTTATAGTATCCCTCATATTACTTAGTCACCATCAAATAAAGGGCTTAGTATAAGTGAAATGAATTGTTTTTTTCACACATTAAGGGACTGTTTGGAATGTTTTGCATCATCTTCAAGTTAGTTAAAATAATAGATGCACAATAATGACATAAAGGTCAGAAATAGTTTGTATTTTTTAGCCAAAAAGAATATAAAAAATAGTAAAACATGAATTGAATCACACAAAAATTATATTCCATTATAAAAAAGGAGAGTTAAAGGGATAGTTGAGTTCTGTTGCAGAGGGCGCTACACAAAATAATTTGTGTGAGATAATACAAAACTGAGTGTCAAATTTGAAAGAACGTCTGACGATAATTTAATGTATAAAACCCCTGAGCTTCTGGGAGCTCCGCTCCCTGGATCCAACACCAATTTGTGTCCTGCCAGTGTCACAAATAAAGTATCAAAATATGCTCATCTGACCGTAATTTATTGCCCAAAATCCCTGAGCTTTCGGGGGATTCACCCCCTGGACCCCACGTCAATTTGTGACCTGCCAGTGTCACAAATAAGGTATTAAAGTACGCTCATCTGACCATGGGTGTCGATCCCGGGGGGATGGGGGGGGGGGATATATCCCCCCCCCCCAATATTTCAGGTGGGGGGGGGGTGGCCTGTACAATCATCCCCCCAATAATTCACCATCAAAAAAAAAAAAAAAAAAATGAAGAGAAAAATTAAGGATGAGAGCCCGATGAGAGAGTTAATGGTTATTACTCGCAAGATGACCATCAATATACACATTTTGCTATCTCATTTTCATAATACATACACTGTAAAAAAATAATAGTCGAAATAACTCAATTAAATTGAGGAAAAGAATTGCCTTATTTTTATT